GCGCCACGCTTGAGGTCCAGCGGAGGGACGTCCTGCGCGAATCCACCCGGACCACGCCGAACCCGCCCCCGCCCTGGCATCGCTCGGACGTGTGCGTTTTTTCCTCGGCGAGGACCATCGAGGAGCATCCTTTATCATTTCGGGGGAAAAAAAAAAACACGCACGAAACCGAAAAAAGCACAGGAAATGGGCGTCCGAGCGATGGCCAGCCGCGGGGGTCCAGCTCGCTGGCGCTCCGGCGCGGGGCCACGGGACCGGTCCAGCGGAGACCACACCCGGCGCGGAGAGAGCCTGGCGGGGCCTCGCCCTCGCCCTTTGGGGGGGGTGCCGCCGGCGCGGGGGGTGGTCGGCACCGCTCTGCGCCGGCAGGGGGCTCTTTGCGCAGGCTCGGAGGCCTGGCATCGCTCGGACGTGTGCATGTTTCCTTCGGCGAGGACCATCTCCTCCCTCCTCCTTCCTCTCTCCTCTCTCCTCTCTCCTCCCTCCTCCCTCCTCCCTCCTCCCTCCTCCCGCCTCCCTCCTCCCGCCTCCCTCCTCCCTCCTCCCTCCTCCCTCCTCCCTCCTCCCTCCGAGGAGCATCCCTGATCATGTCGCGAAAAAGCCACGCACGAAACCAACAACAAAAATACAGGGAGTGGACGTCCGAGCGATGGCAGGCGGAGAGGCGCGTCGCCTTCCCCGGGCGCCGCCCAGGCGCGCGCAGCCGTCGCCACGCCCCTCTCGGGGGCCCGTCGGAGGGGCACGCTGCACGGGCCGAGCAGGGCCTCGCCCTCGGTGGATGCCTGGCGTGCTCGCGGCCGTCGCCAGCTCGAGGCGCGCCCGGGAGGTCCCGCGGGGCGGCCCTGCACGCAGGCCGCAGCGGGGGCCTCTGCCTCGTGGGGCGCCGCCAGGCGGGCAGCCGTCGCGACTCTCCTGCGCGCCCCTCTGGCGGGTCCAGCGGAGCGGCGCCCTGTGCGGACCCACCGCGGTATCGCCTTCGATGCGCACCGCCGGGCGCGTAATCAGATGTCCCCGCCTGCTTGGTCCAATGTTCTTCGTCGGTCCCCTCTCCTCCCCTCCTCCGGTGCCCCTGGGTAGGTATCTCTCTTTCAAGATGCCATGCTCAGTGTGTTGCAGTCGATCTCACACATTGTGTTTCAATCGTGTCAGATGCGATTGCAGTCGTAACTAGTCTTCCCAAGCTCTCCTAATTGTCTTCGTCAGTTCGCTTTTCCTCACCCGCCATTCCCGTTGCTTCGGTAACGCCTCATTGTGGTCCCAGGGGGGCGTCTCGTGCATAGGTTCCCCATGTACCTTCTCCACACAAGACAGCCAGCCGTTAAAGCTGTTTGATCCTTGTTTGCGGGCCCGTTGGTATTGCCACGTGTTGCAAACAGGTTGGGCTCGTCTGTGGTATTGTTCCTCCGTTCTGGGCAATTCTCTGGGAGGCTTGCGAGATGCTCTGGGCGGGGTGGGGTGGGGGGTGGGGGCACCCCAATCCCAGGCCCGACCAGGTCCTGTCAAAGGAGGGGGGGGGTAGAGCAATGGCGCACAGGAGGGATGGGTGGACGACGGGAAATGGATGAGGAGAGGGGATGGATGGAGAGGGGTAACGGGGAATTGGTCCTCCCTCGTCCTCGTCCTCGTGCTCCTCACATTGCTCCTCCTGCTGCTACGGATCCTTCTGCTTCTTCTCTTTCTCCTTGTACTCAATCTCCTGAACCTTCCTCTCCTGCTCCCCCCCCTCACCCTCCTCTCGCCCCCTAGTTGAGGTCAAGACGCTCACGTGGGCACAGCAGCTGGTGACCACCAGAAGCATGGCTGGTGTGAGCAACATCAACAAGGACCGACGGGAGCAAGGGAAGTCGAAGTTAGTTCTGGACCTCACCTCGCTTTTCCCCCTCTTCATCATTCCCCCCTCCTCAGGGTCTAACCCCAACTCTCCCTCACTCCTGTCTCCTCCCCCCAGTCCCCCTCTGGAGGGAGGGAGGGGGAGGACGGAGGGAGGGATGTGGGGAGTCAGGGATGGCGGAGGATGATGCGGAGGAGGAGGGAGGAGAGCGTAGGAACGCGGATGAGGAGGAGGACGTGTGCGGGAGAGGGAGGGTGAGAGCGAGGGAGAGAGAGAGAGAGAGAGACAGAGACCGAGAGAGGGTGTGTGTGTGTGTGTGTGCGTAAGTGTGTGTGTGTGTGTGCGTGCGTGCGTGTATGTGTGTATGTGTGTATGTGTGTGTTTGTGTGTGTATGTGTGTGTGCGTGTGTGTGTGTGTGTGTGTGTGTGTGTGTGCGTGCGTGCGTGCGTGCGTGCGTGCGTGCGTGCGTGCGTGCGTGCGTGCGTGCGTGCGTGCGTGCGTGCGTGCGTGCGTGCGTGCGTGCGTGCGTGCGTGCGTGCGTGCGTGCGTGCGTGCGTGCGTGCGTGCGTGCGTGGTGCGTGCGGTGCGTGCGTGTGCGTGCGTGGTGCGTGCGTGCGTGCGTGCGTGCGTGCGCGTGCGCGTGCGCGTGCGCGTGCGCGTGCGCGTGCGCGTTGCGCGTGCGCGTGCGCGTGCGCGTGCGCGTGCGCTGTGCGCGTGCGCGTGCGCGTGCGCGTGCGCGTGCGCGTGCGCGTGCGCGTGCGCGGGCGCGTGCGCGTGCGCGTGCGCGTGGTGTGCGTGTGCGTGTGCGTGTGCGTGTGTGTGTGTGTGTGTGTGTGTGTGTGTGTGTGTGTGTGTGTGGTGTGTGTGTGTGTGTGTGTGTGTGTGTGTGTGTGTGTGTGTGTGTGTGTGTGTGTGTGGGGGGGGGGGGGGGCGTGCGTGCGTGCGTGCGTGAGTGCGTGCGTGCGTGCGTGCGTGCGTGCGTGCGTGCGGGCAGGCGGGGCGGGCGGGCGGGCGGGCGGGCGGGCGGGCGGGCGGGGGCGGGCGGGCGTGGCGGGCGCGGGCGCGGGCGCACGCGGGCGCGACGGCGTCGCACCGGGCCCGCTCGTCGCCGATCGGTGCCCGCGCCCCTCCCCCCCAATCCGCCATCGCCTCTCCGTCCTCTCGGCGGCGAGCCCGGGCCCCAGGCTCGCCGCCTCCCCCCCCCTTCCCCCGCCTCCCTGGCGTTAGCCCCCGCTTCCCCCCCCCCCCCATGGGGCGGGGGGGAAGCGAGAAGGGGCGGGCCTTCCCAGAAGGCTCGGCAGCCCCCCCCAGCCGTCCGGGGAGCGTTCTCTGAGCCTTTCCTCCCCCGGGGCCGCAGAGCGCTTCTCGGGGACCGCGAGGGCTTCCGCGCAACGAAGCAGAAACAGCGCCACAACCATACAATGTGTGGCGCTCCGCGCGGATGTCCCGGATCGGCGCCTGGCCCCCCCGGGCGGCGCCTCAAGGCGCCGCCCTTTGGCGCGCTCCGGGCGCCAGGGAGGGTGGTCCAGCGCAGATCCAAGAAGTCAGCGCGGAGCGCCAAAGCTTTTTGTGCTTGTAGTGGGGAACCGACCCCAGCCCCCACAACAACGACTTCTAGATATCAGCGTTTCACAAGTGTGGCGAATGTGCGTAGGTGTAGGCGCCCTCTCTAGGCGGGGCCATGGCCAGCTGCCGCGGGGGGGTGGGGGGGGGGCCCGCGCGCGTGGTCCAGTTGGTCGAAAGCTCCTCATGTGGGGGGGGGGGGGGGCGGTTTTCGTGCGTTCACCGAGGAGCAGAGCAAGCTGAGCGAGATGAAGGAGAAGCACGCGGACGCCCTGCGGGCGCTGCAGGAGTCGGTCCACTCCAGCAAGAAGGACCGACGCTCCGCCGCGGGGGGCGCGCAGAGAGGCGGCACTCCCTCCGTGTGGTGGGGGGCCTTGGCCAGCTTGGCTGGTGGAGGAGGTGGAGCGAGCAGGAGGAGGAGGTGGAGGAGGAGGAGGAGGAGGTGGAGGAGGAGGAGGAGGAGGAGGGAGGAGGAGGAGGAGGAGGAGGAAAGGAGGAGGAGGGCGGAGGAGGAGGAGGAGGAGGAGGAGGAGGAGGAGGAGGAGGAGGAGGAGGAGGAGGAGGAGGAGGAGGAGGAGGAGAGGGAAGGATATCCAGATCGCAGTGTCGTCGCTCGTGCTCTTGTCCCGTCGTCGCCGCTGCTCCTCTTCCAGAGGCGTCCGGGGCCTCCAGGAGCATCCGGGGGGCAGCCGAGGAGGCTGAAGAGGGAACAGTTCGCCACGAGCACAGAGGGGCGGGCTTTCGCAGTGTCTTCGCTCGCGCTCTTGCTCCGTCGTCGCCGGTACTGCTGCTGCTGCTGCTGCTCCTCCTCCTCCTCCTCCTCCTCCTCTCCATCTCCCATCTCCTCCTCCTCCTCCTCCTCCTCCTCCTCCTCATCCTCATCCTCATCCTCATCCTCATCCTCATCGTCTTCCTCCTCCCCCTCCTCCTCCTCCTCCTCCTCCTCCTCCTCCAAAGGCTTCTGGGCCTCCAGGAACATTCAGGGTTGGGGCACTGCGGAATGGGATGGCGATGAGAAAGGGGGGGAGGAGGAGGCCCTCCTTTCGTGCGCCTGCGGGGCCTCAAGGTCGCACGAAGGGTGCACCCTTTTTGTTCGCCCCCCTGCTCACGGTCGGGAACTCTGGCCCGGCGTATCGCGCCGACGGTTCTGGCCCACCGCGCCTCGACGAGGCACGCTGCGCACCCACTTCTCTTCCGTCCCGAGCGTCAACGGCCCAGGCCGTTCCCAGCCTCCCGCCCCTGCGGAGCGGAGCGACACGCCTGTCCACTTGCAGAGCACGGCGTGCCGCCAGGGCCGCCGCCGCGACACGCTGATCTAGAGGTTCAGGAAGACAGTCATCGGGCTGGGAGGGTGGGGTCGGGAGAGACGAGGCCATCATTACCCGCAGGCGGCCGAGGGTATCGAGGGCATCGTGCATTGCGTCGGAATGCTGTTGCTCAGGCCCGTCATCCTCCCGACCCACGCCTTCCCACCCGATGGTTGTTCTCCTCGTGAGGTCCCCGTCGGCATCCGCCGTGCACCGCTCCCAGAGGCAAGGCCGATCCTGGGCCATAGGGCGGGTGTTCCTGCAATCCCTCCCAGCCGAGCCGGGAGGCGAGCGCCGGCGCCGGTCATGGGCCCAGGCTGGTCCGCATCTGATGGGTCGATTTTCCACCACCACTACCACAGGTAGGAGAGGGAGGAGGAGGAGGAGGAGGGAGGAGGAGGAGGAGGAGGAGGAGGCGGAGGCGGAGCGGAGGCGGAGGAGGAGGAGGAGGGAGGAGAGGAGGAGGAGGAGGGAGGGAGGAGGAGGGAGAGGGAGGAGGGAGGAGGGGGGGAGGGGAGGAGGGGGAGGGGGAGGGGGAGGGGGAGGAGGAGGAGGAGGAGGAGGAGGAGGAGAGGAGGAGGAGGAGAGGAGGAGGAGGAGGAGGACCTCCCTTCTCCTTCGTTCTATCTAGGGTAGTGGTGGTGGAAAAACTGGCCCACCAGCATCGGTGCGCGGTGCAGTTGCAAGGTGGCTCCGTCGTCGTCGTCGTCGTCGTCGTCGTCGTCGTCGTCGTCGTCGTCGTCGTCGTCGTCGTCGTCGTCGTCGTCGTCGTCGTCGTCGTCGTCGTCGTCGTCGTCGTCGGCGGCACCTCGTTGCAGTCGTCGTCGTCGACGCCGTCGGCGACGGCAACGACGACGGCGGAGGCCTGAGAGGTGGCCGCCGCGGGGGAAACATGATTTTCCCTAGATGATCTTTGCTATATTTCTATCATCTGGAACCCTGCGACCCCCCCCCCTCAAACGGGACTCCTCCGGATCTTTGGCCCTAGATGCACCCTGAACGCCCTGAAAGACGGTGCTTTCCCGGGCTCCTGAAGCCCTTGCTGGGCCTAGGCAGCGGGCCCAAATCGGTCAGGAGGGCGGCCGGACGGCCCCGCGAGAGCCCACAGAGGCCCCAGGCACCCACTAGACGCCCGAAGACGACCCAAAGAAGACCCCCAAGAGACATTCGAAACGCCAAAAGCATTGATGCCTTTTGGTTTTTGCATGATTTGGGGAATGCTCAGTTCTTCGATCTTCCGGGCGTCCGAGACTGCCCAGGAGGCCAGAGAATCGCCCCAAACTTAACCAAGAGGGTTTCCAGGCAGTCCAAGAGGAGCCCCAAGACAGCCCAACAGGGCCCCAAGATGGCACAAAGAGGGCCCCATGAAGGCCCGAGATGGCCCAAAGACGCCTCCCGAATCATTCCAAGTCGTGACCTGGGCGATCAGGGAGACCGCGGTTGGAAGCAGGGTGCCCCAGGGAAGCCCCCAGTGGCCCCCAGAATGAACCCAGGAGGCTGCCAGAAGGCCCCAACAAGCCCTTAAACACTTTCGTGAGGCTTACAAGAGGTGATCCTAGGATGAGCCTCCACAAAAAGAGCAGATGATGGTGGCGAATTCGCAGGATCGGGTGAGAATGAGGAGAAGGAAAAGAAAGCATGTTGTAAGGATAACGATAATATTGTTACAACGACGATGCCAGACCAGGTAAAGACGAGTTGCCGCTAAATGCTCAGTGTTATCTTATTGCCTTCCTGTCTGCATGCCAAACCTGAAGGACCAAAGTGCATGACTCGAAGCGCCAATCGATTCTTGTATACATGTATCCACGATACATGTACACATATGCAGATGTACATGTGTGTATATATATAGATTGTTCGGGTCCCAATCCGTCAATCATCCCGCGCAGAAAATCGTCATTTCCAATTCCTGGGGGTATTAAAGATCGTTCGAGGTTACGTCCGCGCGTCCCTTGGAGGTCGCTGGGGGGGGGCAGCGTTGCATCCAGAGACAGATCCCAGTACGATCGGCCGGCGCGCTAGATCCGTCAATAGCAATATTTTCGACCCCCATGAGCAAGAAGCTCTGATCTTAGGCTTGCTTTTACCGACGATTGGGCCGCTCAGGTCGGCCCATACCCTGCGAGCATTACACCTCAGCGCCTTGCAAGCTGAGGCCTTGAGCGCGCGCCTTCAACCCACCGCTAGAGGCACAGGCAACAACGTCCCCTTCTTCCTCCGCGCTCTCTCCTCCTCCCTCCTCCCCTCTTCCCCTCTTCACGCCCACTCCGGCTTCCTCCTCCTCCTCCTCCTCCTCGCCCCTCCCTTTCTCGCCTCGCCCTCCCGCGGGGACGAGGAGGGACGGCGCCGAGTGGCGACGACAGTGGCGACGACGACGACGGCGGCGAGCGCGAGCACGAGTGCGACGTCGACGACCGCGGCGGCGACGACCTCGGCGGCGGCAGGGCGAGGCAGGAGGCTCCGACCTCCGTGCCGCTGGGCTGTCGACGCGTCGCGTGCCTGCCACGCCGCAGCGGCCCGCCCCCCCTCGATCCCAGAGGCCTCGATGTGTCCTCCGCCTCCGCCTGGAGCCTCCTCGGCTCTCCACCTCCTCCTCGCCCTCCTCGGTCCCCCCTCGTCCTCGTCCTCGCTCCACGTCCTCGGTCCCAGATCCTCGATCCTCCTCCTCGACCCCTGGTCCTGGTCCTCGGTCCTCCTCCTCCTCCTCGACCGTGGAGCCTCCTCGATCTCGGAGCCTCCTCTCCCTTCCCCCTCCTCCTGGCGAGGACAGGGAGGATGAGCTGAGCGTGACGCAGGCGCCCCCCCCCCCACCCCCCCCAGCTGACCTTGGGGCCTCATGCCGCGCCTCTCTGCGGCTTCCGGCGAGGAGCGGGGCGAGGGGGGGGGGAAGAAGGTCCAGGGGATGAAGGAGGAAGAGGCGGAGGAGGGTGGTAGGAGGAGAGCCAGGAGCCGGAGGAGGAGGGCCAGGAGCCGGAGGAGGAGGAGGAGGAGGAGGAGGAGGAGGAGGAGGGAAAAGAGAGGGAGACGAAGAAGAGGAAAAAGAGCACGAGCAGGAGGTGCCGCCGTAATCGACCTGGACGCGGCGCCCCCCCCCCCCTCCCACAGGCCAGCGCGCCGCCCCGCAAGGCGATCCCGCGCTTCCCTCGACAGCCCCCAGGCGCCCTGGCTGCTGCGCCCTTGCACGCCCGACGGCGAGGGCGAGGCAGAGGCCAGGCGAAGTCCGCCTGGCGTCGCAGGGCTCGGAGTCTCCGAGCCACGGATCGCACGGCGCCCGGCAACTCAAAGCGCCCCATCGAGAGGCGTCGGGGAAGGCACCGTGGCTCTCAACGGCACCGTTGTCACTGGTGGTGTTCCTGCGGCGCCAAGAAATCAGGAGGAGGAGGTGGAGGAGGAGACAGGAGGAGGAGGAGGAGGAGGAGGAGGAGGAGGAGGAGGAGGAGGAGGATGAGGTGGAGGAGGAGGAGGAAGAAGGGTCGGACGTGCTGGTGCTGCGCGAGAGCTGTGGCGAAGCCTGGAGGTCGGATCGGAAAGCGCCCGTCACGCTCGAGGCAGCCTTCGGCTTCCATCACCACCAACCAAACCACCCCAACCCAACCCGAAGGCCCAAATTGATCCTCGATTTCCAGTGGGGGGGGGTCGGGGAACATTGAAAAAACACATGGAACCCGTACCCCCCCCCAACCCGAAATTCGGGTCAAATTCGGGTCTTCGGGTTGGGTTGGGGTGGTCTGGTAGGTAGTCATTCCAGGGGTCAGGATCGCAAGCGTCCTGGTCGCTGGCTGAGCAGGAAGCGTTCTGAGAACTCCTTGCGCAAGATCAGCAACGATACCGGCCCCATGCGCATCGGTCTTGCGCAAGCTTCGGAGCCAGGGAAGCAATCACCCGGCAAGTCCGACAAGGACCAGGTCTCGTTCTGCAAGAAGGTCCGGAAGCGTATCTACCAGCTGGCAGAAGTTGCCAGCACCATGCGAGCAGCAATCAACGCGACGCTCACCGGAGTTTCCGAGATTGCAGCTTAGGCAGGTGTATCGGCCCTCGTGCCCATCGAGCATCAGGAGGAGGGCATTACCAAACGTGTTTCGGTCTCCTAGGAGAAGCGCCATACGATCGAGAAACACTTGGGGGAGACAGTCCGTGCGTGAGATGCTATGTCGACGCAGCCGGTGCAGGCTCGTGACCAGTTTGAGCTGATCTGCTCTCAGGAGGGAGGCAAATCCCGCGGCCGGCACGGACGGCGACACGGTGGTGGGGAAGGAGCAGGCCCACGGCGAGGCCAGAGGGGCTGCGGTTACGTCGGGCATGCCCCTCTACAGGAGGGATGTTCAAACATAGTTTTAACAAAATAGTCTGGGGACAAGTTGTCTATGATATTTTTTGACTATTTTGGACATCAGTTTTCATTCTGTTGTTTTTTTCGTTTAAAATCCGCCTGCAGGGGGACATGCCCGACCTGATGCTACGGATGCCAGCCCGCCACCGCCACGGCGTCCCAGGCTGCTGCCCTCAGGCCGCCCCCTCCGCCGCCGCGCCCTCAGCCCCAGCCAGCTGCGGCCAAGCCCAAGTCGGGCGCCATGGTCCAGACTTCATTCAGAGCCCCGAATCATCAGGGGTAACTCGGGTCAGGGCTAACTCGGGTTCGTTTTTCGGGATTCCGAACCCGAGTTGCCCCGGACCCGAGTTACCCTGGATAATTCGGGCGCCCAGAGCCCCAAACCATCAGGGGTAACTCGGGTCAGGGCCAACTCGGGTTCGTTTTTCGGGACTCCGAACCCGAGTTGCCCCGGATAATTCGGGCGCCCAATTCATGCTCTTCGCAGCAAATGTTAAACCAACAGCTTCATGTTCTTCGCAGCAAATTCAGAGCGTGAGCTACCTACCCCGCTTTCGCTTCCAGGCCAAGCCAAGCCGCACCACGCGCCTCCTCGTCGAGCGGCCTGACCAGTCCAGGCTGCAGTTTGGCACCGTTTGGTATCTCTTGGAAGCGAGGGTGGTCAGAAGCGGGGTAGGTCTGCTTTCCCCCTGCAAGTGTTCGACCAGCAGCGGGGGCAGGCGGCAGGCCTCCGGCGGGCGCGGGAGGAGGCGCGAGAGCCCGCGCAGAGCACCCTCCGCTCTGCGCGCGCCCTTGGCCCGGGTCATAGCTCGTCGGCCGATCCGTAACGGAGGCAATGAGTAGCGGAGGGGGGGACAAGAGAAACAAATATTTATTGATTCGAACGGAGAAATACGACGAGAAGGCGAAAGCAAAGCACAGTCATAATAAGTAGAAAGCTACGATTTTTGTTAGTGATAATAAGAATAGTAAGCTGTTTGTTCTCAAAGACGTTTTGGCACATTCAGAGAACTATTCTGTAAAAAATGAAGCGCAACATATAAAGGCGCAGCGTTCGTGCACCTGCTGGGCCCCAGATGGGGCTCCTTCTAGGCTCCTTCAGCGCCTGCCTCCTGCAATCCTCGACCCCCCCCTCTCCATTGGTCGCCCCCCTACCGTCGTTTGCGAAATGAGCGCCCACCTCAGGCATCGATGACAAGACGATCGAGCTCGCCCCCCCTTCCCCCCGCATAGGCAGGCACCCCCGGACGAGGGAGCCGCCCGTGCGGGTGCGGCCGGGGCGCTGAAGAAGGAACCCTTTTCGTTGAGCGAGGTGAGGGTGGACTCGAGGCAAGAGCGAGGGGACAAAAACGAAAACGAAACGAGAGCGACAAAATCCGTTTGGGTTCGGCCACGTTCAAGGGCACGTTCTCTACAGCGCCGCCGGCGCATCGGGAGGCCTCTGCCTCGGGCGGTGGCGCCCCGCTGGTCTCTCGGCTCCCAGTGTGCAGTCGGGGCCCTGGAGGAGGAAGCCTTTTCGTTGGGGAGGGGCCCCGCGTTCCTTAAGTGTTTCGCAGCTTGCCTCAGGTGTCCCTTGTGTCTTCGATGGGAGATCGAAGTTGAACTTGTGGAAAAGAGGGGCCTCGTTCCTTATGTGGGGTTCCTTAGGTCAACGCCCCGACTGTACCATCACGGGCGCAAGTGCGGGTACTTTATTAGTGAATTTGATTGGTTTGAGGGTTTTAACGAATGGTCGCAGCCACGCAGAGGGCGTGCGTAGCGACGCCCCAAATGCTCGGTCTCCAGTACTTCTACGTGGCGGCGCCCCCGCAGGCACGCTGAGGGCACGCGTGGCGACGGGGGCGTCGCCACGCAGAGCTTCTAAAGACCAACCATTTTGAAAATAAATTGTTTCCACTACTAAAGTACCATCACGGACGCAAGTGCCGACACCGTCGCCATCACCGCCGCCGCCTGCTCCTGCTGCTCCTCCTGGCTCCAGGTGCGCAGGAGGTGACAGGTGACGGTGCCTGCCGGCCTGAGAGCTCCAGGGCTGAGCCCACTGGACCTTTCGATCCCGTGCCGTGCTACCAGCAGCTGGGTGATGCCCAGGATCTGGCGGAGAAGCGTCCTTCTGATGTAGCACTTGCCGCTGTGGAGGGACGATGGTGGACGAGGAACCAGAGTACATCTTGTTTCGGCCAGCAGGGCGTCATTGGCGAGGCGCCTTAGCCTGCCTCATCGCAGTGGTGGCCATCATCTTCGGAGGGCACTGCATCTCCACACCCTTCGCGCGCCTCCCCCGTGCGATTCGCCTTGGCCAGAGGCGACGCTCAGACGGAGGAGATGGGTTCATCCGTTCGCAGGCGTTTTTGGCGAAGGCAAGGTTAGCCGCCTTCGTCGCGGCAGGCCCGAGGGCCTTGGCGGCAGCGGGGCCGTCAGACAGGAGGCGGGGCTCTCACATCCCTGGAAGGGCCCGCGTACGGGTTGCCTGGTCACGGGTGCCGACGGCAACAGACAGGTGCACTTTTACCTAACAGCTTTTGCTGATAGGTTTCTAGTGGTTTCAAAAGAGAGCAGCAGATGACTCCACAGGGGGGTCGGGGCGGGACCCGGGGCGGTGCCGCCGAAGCCCAAATCGCTTGGGACATCCTCGCAAAATCGCTCTTGGCGCTGCTAGAACTCCATTCCCGGCGTACATTTTGGATGCCCGGAGCCAGCTGTAGGCCACTTCGTGGTCTTCGAGTTCCCAGAACTCCATTCCCGGCGTACATTTTGGATGCCCGGAGCCAACTGTAGGCCACTTCGTGGTCTTCGAGTTCCCAGAACTCAATTCCCGGGCAACATTTTGGATGCTCGGAGCCAACTGTAGGCCACTTCGTGCTCTTCGAGTTCCCAAAAGTCTATTCCCGGGCAACATTTTGAATGCCCGGAGCCAACTGTAGGCCACTTCGTGTTCTTCCACTTCCCAGAACTCCATTCCTGGGCATGATTTTGAATGCCCGGAGCCAGCTGTAGGCCACTTCGTGTTCTTCTAGTTCCCAGAATTTCATTCCTGGGCCACATTTTGATTGCTGAGGCAGGCTGATGCTGCAGCCGAGGCAGGCTGAGGCTGAGGCAGGCTGAGGCCGAGGCCGAGGCTGAAGGCAGACTGAGGCTGAGGCTGAAGCAGACTGAAGCTGAGGCTGAGGCAGGCTGAGGCTGAGGCTGAGGCTGAGGCAGGCTGATGCTGAGGCAGGCTGAGGCTGAGGCTGAGGCTGACGCAGGCTGAGGCTGAGGCAGGCTGAGGCTGAGGCCGAGGCTGAGGCAGACTGAGGTTGAGGCTGAAGCAGGCCGAGGCTGAGGCTGAGACAGGCTGAGGCTGAGGCAGGCTGAGGCTGAGGCTGAGGCAGGCTGAGGCTGAGGCTGTGATTGCGACTGCCGTTACCGCTGCGACTGTCATCGCGAATGCGATTACGACTGCGAGTACAGCAGAATTCTACAACT